CGTCCACTGCTTGTAATTTAAACATGGGAACGTGTGTTTTCATTGACACTTGGCTTGATATCAGTGATTTTTACACTCTGTTGAAGCGATCCACATCAGTCATTATGAAGGTCTCATAGATATGACTGTTTCATTAAAAGAATTTAGTGTTCTTGTATTAAAATTAAATATTCTTTAATAGCTAAATTGATAACAATAAAAGGTTTCTATGTTAAAAAATTCTTGACCATTTGAATGTTTCTGTTAATGTGTCGGTTTGGTCTGAAATGTCATTCTTAATGGTCTTAAATTTAACGTACTGAAACCTGCGTGAACTCTGTTCAAAAGATAAAATATATAAATTTGATTTTAAAGGATTTTAATTGAAGGACTCACCAGAAAAAAAAAACTCATCTGAAACACTTAATGATCTGTTTTTCTCAAACAGATCTAAATAATTAAAAATCCCACTATTTGGTTATAGGATTATCAGATCAAAATACGATTTTTAAGTGGGGAAAAATTCATTAAAATGATTTCATGTGTTTGGAAGAACTTAAACAAATAAATTCAGAAAAGACTGCAGTCCTAAAAGTTATTTTTGAAAGTACAATTAAGGGAATAAAATTGTAATAACTAATCATTTTATGGCTCATTTAAAAATATGAGCAGATTTAATTAGTAATAAATACCAATCGGTTCTGTTAGTGGCCAAATCTGCATTTTTCTAACATATTTGTTTATCTAATTACCAAGCAACTAAACTGACTTGGGTATTGTTTTTGTTTTTGTCCTTATAGGTACATAAACTAGATGAAAATGTCTGGAAAAACACAGAGGTTATTAACATTGACATTGCAGAAAGAAGTTGCATCTCTGATAAGGTAAGAAAAAGAATTACAGACTATAAAAACAGGTCAGATTTTTCCATCACTATTCCATTAAAACACTTTTGCGTATTGATCATTGATTTGAACTTAAACATTAAACCAGTGTGACATGTTTCACTGATCATTCATTCATTCATTCATTCATTTTAGGACTACAAGCCAGAACAAGATCCTGCGATATTTAAGTCTGTAAAGACGGGGAGAGGGCCTCTGGGACCTGACTGGCAGGTACTTTTTCTCTCATTGCTCTTTAGTAAACTTTAATAAAGGTACAGGCTCTAAAAATGTATTTTTTTAACTTCTACATTAATTTAAATTCTGTGTTTGCAGAAAGAACTCGCTCAGAACCCCAACTGTCCTCACATGTGTGCCTATAAGCTCGTCACTGTTGAGTTCAAATGGATGGGGCTGCAGAACAAGATGGAGAGCTACATACAGAAGGTACTGAAGAGTTCGGTTTGTTGGAGAAAATCACATTTTAATGTCCAAACCTTTGCCTTCTGCTTGTCTGTGTGTATTTGTGTTGTGAGCTCACACAGTCTTTCTCCCTCACCCTCTGTGTTCAGGTGGAGAAGCGTTTGTTTACACACTTCCACAGACAGCTGTTCTGCTCGATCGACAAATGGGTGGATCTGACGATGGAAGACATTCGACGAATGGAAGACGAGACCCAGAAGGAGCTGGATGAGGTGAATGAAGACTGTGTAATGTTGTATATCAAAGCACTCCTGCTGTAATAGGCAGCAGTGATACAACCCTTATATTTAGGGCTTTACAATGGATCGAGAAAATATTGTCATCACAGTATCAGTGAGCACAATATTCATATCGCAAAGGACTGCAAAAACTGTCGACTAATGCATCTGAAGAGTTTTGAAGTTGTATTTTTCATGCTAATGCAACATTTGGACAGTAGGACAGGGATTCACAGCTGCAAAAGCTCACACAAGACACAAATGGCATTGCCAAAAATGCTAAAGAGCATTTCAAGGTTGTGGCTCCTAAATTTTCTAACACATTACCGCAACCTCTACGAGCTGTGGATTCAGAGGAGATTTTTAAAAAGCAGCTTAAAACGTACCTTTTCAAGCTGCTTTTAACACGTTTGTATAAGTTTTCATGTTGTCGTGTTGTGTTTATCATTTGTAGATGTACAACGGGTAAAATAAGTATTGAACACGTCATCATTTTTCTCAGTAAATATATTACTAGAGGTGCTAATGACATGAAATTTCCACCAGATGTTGGTAACAACCCAAGTGATCCATACATACAAAGAAATCAAACCATAAATGTCCAGAAATAAAGTTATTTGTAATAATGTGGAATGGCACAGGGAAAAAGTATTCTATGAACTCTGATCTTTAGTTCTTTCCATAGATTTTCTGTTGGATTCAGGTCAGGTGATTGGC